AATATTAAAATTTTATGTGTTGTTATTATGTAGTATTTTGCGTAATTAACAAAAAACATCGTTCACAAACTTTTGTCCGGGTAGTGTATGTATATATTTGAAAACAAACGGAACAACATTTTCTAAGTTCCCAGGATGTGTTGAAATATAATATCTTAAAATAGCTCTAAGTGCAACTTGTTTGAAAATTTTTCGAAAATTTTTAATTTGACTTTTAAATATCATAAAATCGTCAATAATGATCGGTCAGATGTGATATTTTAGAGTGTTATATAAATCATTTCGACAAACATTTTCTTACTAATACTAATACACAGTGTCGACTTGCTTAGTAAAAAAATGACTACTTATATTAAACGTTTACCCGATTATTTTGCTAATCATCAGGTGTCCGGAAATTTTTTGTAGGGTAGTGTCATCTTTCTTTGCATTCTTCGTCGTACAATGACAATTATTACTATATAATTTTATAATTTTCCGACTGGATTAACAATTTATATAAAAACTAATATTCAGCTGAAAAGCTTAGTCAGCCAATTTCAATTTTCGTCACATCAAGTATGACGAAATCAACAATGATTTGCTTCATCCACGCTGATAGGGATGGGAAAATGTACAACAATGATAATTGAAGAGAGTTCTTCGTGGGAAAAAAAAAATAAACCTTTATCACATCAAGTTAGTTGCTAACGTCACCACATCATAAGGTTTTAGTATATACTTTGTTCTCGTGGTTTTTGCTTTGTTCTAACCTAATATGTTAATACAAATTGCTAGATCAAACTTGATTATATTTGTGGTAAATTACGACAACTTCAAAGTATCTATAATTTCATAAAGTTACTATTACGCCATTACATCATAAGATTTAACGTATTTGTTTTTTTTTTATTCTCATGGTTTTGCCTAATATGTCAAATTTGTTTCAAATAATTGTATAAAAATTTTTTTTTTTCACAAATGCCATAAAGTCTCGAAAGATAGCACTCACCCCTGTAACAAATGATTTTCAATTAGAGGGTGCTATCTTTCTATTTAAAGGAGCAGGTCATAGTGATGACGAAAATTGGTTGAGAAGGACAGCTGAATTTGAAGCTGAATTAAAGAGATCAGGTTATAATTTAGATAATAATGATGATACCAATTTTACCAGTGCTCCTATTCATATCGAACCTTTGGCAAGTTTGGATCAAACAGTGAAGATAATTGGTCGAGAGCTACTGTCGAATTTGAACTAAGAATAAATGCGATAATAATTTAGATGATAGTGCCGATTTCCTTAGCGTCCCTGTTCCTATCGAATCTTCAACAAGTCTCAATGATCATGGTTGGGGTCAAATAGTCAAATAATAAAGACGATTGGTTAAGGATTGCTGTTGAATTTGAATCCAAACTTAAAAATGCAACCTAAATAATTGATATTATAGCACCAAAACAAACAATAATAATAATTGCTGTCAAGATGATCAAATGGAAGAATAACTCTAACAGAAGAAACTATAATAACAACTATAGTCGAGATAATAACAATATAAGAGATAGTTTTGGCAAAACTATAATAATAATTATAGTCAGGATGCCAAAGGAAAGAGTAGACAATAAATTTTTGTAATAATAAAAGTTGCTGCTTCAAATGCTGGTCTCCTAAGCATCTTTATCAATATTGTACTCGTAACATAGAGAATCGCCACCACATCACATCAACAACAAACGGCATTTCTAGAAGGAAGCTAATTATTGCAAATAATAATAAGAAATAGAATTATTTTTTTTATAATATACTGTATTATTATAATTATCATTATTGATATAATAATTTTTTTTAATTTGTTATGATGTACGCACGCACACCCTAGAAAGATGCTCATTAGAGCCACCACACTTAAAAAGTTAAAGAACCTATTACTGCTTCCATATTATTGTTAATTACATATAAACAATTGATTTATCCATTTATTATTTTAGAAAGTATATTAACACTCGCTAGTTAATCCAAATTAGTCCTTACTTCACAATTTTTGCCTTTTTACCTTTTTACCAAGGTATTACTACACTTTAAAATTGGTCGTAGAATGCAATACAAAAAAAAATTTTTTAAATCATTTATAATGCACAACTTCCCCGTTTTACCATAAAATGGTGAACATTATATGAAATAAATGATTAAAGTTCACGTATATTAATATAATTGTTTAAGAAAAAAGATATCTTTATTAGATATTTGATATATTGCAACACTCGAAACACATGCCCTATTTGAAACCTTTGTTGAGAAATATCAAAAGACCCAGTTGGCTTAATATAAAACTAAAGAGAAGTAATGATGGAGTCTGGAGGGAATCCATCCAAAAGATTAAACATCTGGCTAAATATTTTTCCGAATTAATTTTATCAACCGAATTTTTATGTAATTACTCCATCCACTTTGTTCAAATTTTTTTAATGTTTCATTGTATCCATTCAAACTCATAATAATAATAAACCATTAGTATTAGAGAACCTTCTGTTTATTTTTAGTGTGTGACAGAATGAAGCATAGTAGAAATTATTTATATAAAAAAAAATTTTGATAAATGGTATATTTTCGATGAAAAATTTCTTGAAAAAAATTTAATGTAAAAATGGTTGATAATTTGTTAGCTTATTTACTTACTATAATTTTAGGTGCAATAAGTTTTTTCATTTATAAAACTTTAATTGAGCCTTTTTATTTGTCACCATTACGTAAAATACCTGGTCCACCTTCTGAAAGTATTTTGTTGGGAAATTTTCCAACTGTTGCAGCTGACGTAAATAATAGTATCTTCTTTATTTATTTATTCATTTTCTCTTAGGAAATTAATTTTTTATCCACTAAATATTAAATTAAAGATTGGAAAAGCTCATTTTGAATGGAAAAAGAAATATGGAGGAATATTAATATATCGTGGATTATTAAATGAACCAATTGTACTTTTAACAGATCCTAAATATTATCCACCAATATTGACAAATAATGCTTATGGATTTTTTAAAACAATGGAATTTACTACGGATTTAAGAATTGTATTAGGAGATGGGATTTTGTTTGCTGAAGGTGATCAACACAAACGTCAAAGGAAAATGATGAACCCAGCATTCTCTTTTACAAACTTGAAAGTAATTATTGTTATTAATATTAAATATTATTTAATTTTAAATTGAATGTTTTGTTTAATTACATTCAATTTGTAGGAAATGGTCCCTACAATTATCAATGTTACTAATAAATTGAATAACATATTGAATGATTTGATTGGTGATCAAGATGAAAAACAAATTATTAATATCAATTCATATATTTCAAATGCTGCATTAGATATTATTGGCTTAGTTGGTAAGTTTTAAAAATATTTTTTTACATTAGCTCAATATATTATTGCTCATATATATATATATATACATTGTTTATTATGAATAGGATTTCAATATGAATTCAATTCACTTAGTTCTGAGAATGAATTAGCAACTGCTTATGAAGAGCTTTTTAATCCTAAATTAACATTCAAGAATTTCTTGTTAATGGCTATATCAGATAAATTCAAATGGATTAGATCTTTGCCATTTGAAGCAAATTTAAGATTAATCAATGCTGTTAAAGTCACTGAAAAAATTTCCTTGCATCTAATTAAGGAAAAACAAAAACAGGCACAATTAAAAAAATTGGAAGGAAAAGATTTGTTGTCTTTATTAATCAATAGTAATCAAGATTTGCCACCAGAAGAAAAAATTTCTGAATTAGAATTAAAACATCAAGTAAATTAACTACACACATACATATATTATTATTATATATTTGTTTTTGTTATTTTATTTAGTTTTAATTTATTTGTTGTGTGATAGATCATGACATTTCTAGCAGCTGGTCATGAAACCACAAGTACTGCACTTTCATGGGCATTATACTTACTTGCCAAGCATCCAGAGGTTCAAGATTGTCTTCGTCAAGAATTATTGGAAGCTTTACCAGATCCTAATTTGGAAGCATCATTTGATAAAATAAATTCCTTGGAATATTTAAATTGTGTATTCAAAGAAACTATGAGAGTCATTCCAACAGGTATTTTATTATTATTATTATTATGAAAGATGGAAAATTAATATATCTATACAATTATTTATATTTAAGTATGTGTATACATATAATATATGCATATATATACTAATACCATATTATTATTTTATCAGTACCAGCAGTAGCAAGAAATAGTGAAACTGATACAACAATTGATGGATACTTTATTCCAAAAGTATTAAAATTTCAATTTAACATCTATTAATTTATAAATATATAACATCTATACTTAATTTTTTTTCTTTCTGCTTCTTGTATATATCATTTAATTAATCAATAGAAAACACCAATTGCAGTATCAATATATTCAGCTCATCATGATTCAAAAATTTGGGGAGAAGATCATGACAAATTTGAACCATCAAGATGGTTGGATCCAAAGTTAACATCAGAAATAAATAATTATAACTATTTACCATTTTTAACAGGTCCAAGATCTTGCATAGGTTATAAATTAGCTATAATTGAATTTAAGATTATTTTATTTTCTTTAATAAAAAACTTCAAATTCAGGGAAGTTGAAGGTCTCCAGATCAAAAGGAAAATTGGCATTGTTACTAGACCTGAACCTGGAATTGACCTTTATGTTTCAAAAGTGCAATAATAGTATTATTATCATTGTTTAGGATTGATATGTAGTTGTTTATTTATTATTCAATTTTTCATGTAAAGTTTATATAATAAAGTAGGTATTTGAATATTAATATATATAAGAAACCTATCCTAATAACAATGTTTAATGAGTCATTAATGTAGCAATCAAACGAGTAGTGGTAATGTTAGCCTTAATAATAATAATAGTAACAACAAAATCGACAATTTTTTAAACTAATAATTGAAATTATGGTTGATTCTTTAGTGACTATGGAACATATCAAATATAAATATATTTAGAAAACATAGAAACTCTAATGGTGGATCTAAATTTTCCAATAATAATAATAATAGCAATAACAATCATAATAAAGCTTGAAATAGGTTCAAAAAAAACAACGGTCCAATCATCAAAATGATTGAAGAATGAGTTGCAAATATCGCGCAAAAAAAATTAGAAAAAAAGCACGTGATATAATAATAAGGATAAAGGTCAGACCTACCCGGAAATCGTCCGCATATTATTATTATAGGTAAAAATCCCAAATATTCAAATTCTATAATTAAACATATT